GTTACTACTAGCGTGGCACTTGTTCCTAGTAGCTTCTTGTTACTAGTTTAGGCACTCGTTACTAGTAGCGATGCACTTGTTTGTTCCTAGTAGCGAACCTTGTTACTACTAGTAAGGCCCTTCTCCTAGTAGCGATGCACTTGTTCCTAGTAGCTACTTGTTACTACTAGTGCGAGCGCTATCCTGTGTCCAGTTACCAGTAGCTTGAGTAAGCTACTAGCTACATCTCCCTCCAGCGGCTTACTCCCCCGCACGCGCGCGAAACAAAAACACATTCCGCTTGTAATGAGAGCTGAGGTTCTTGTGAAGCGAAAGTGTGGGCATGAGATCCGCGTGAAATGCCATTTGAAGACTTCACCCCTTCCTTTGTGCAAAGAAACCTGCGCTGTATTCAGTCCCATGTGCGGTCACGAAGTCTTTGTTCCATGTCATCAACTGGATGACATGAGAAGGTGGCAATGCTGGGAACCCGAGGTCCGAGTTGGTTTAGGAGAATTTCCAAAACGTTCTTTTTGTTCCCGAATCGTGATGGCCTCCACCCTAAAAGCAATGGCCTCCAACCTAATAGCGATGGCCTCCACCCTAGTAGCTTCTTCCTACTAGTAGTAATGGCCTCCACCCTTTGTTTGTTCTTTTTCTTTGATCTTGACTATTGAGTTGTCAAAAAGCCACTCGTTTCCAAGAAAGCCAGCAAGACTTTGTCGTCGTTGACTTCTGGATGGCATGATGGACAGGTGGTCGCGCATTTGCAAAAGCACGCAGAGCTACCTGCCCACGCCAAGCCTCAAGAACTCAGCAGTCCTCAAGAATTGCTGAATGTGGCAAAGACTTGCAAGAAAGCTGTGAAGGCCAAATGGGCCAAATCCTATGTTTGGCGAATTGTGATGGGTTCATCTGAAACAAACAGCCCCAACCGCACGTGATCATGTTTACATTCTATGTGAGCTCATGTTCATTGCTTGCTCGTTTGCATATACAAGCATCTTCACACGTACTCGGTGATTCTCACATACACATGAGCTCTTGCAATTCGTGAGCTGATATTCCTTCATGGCAAATTGTGACTGAAAGCCATGCATGGGCCATCTGTGACGGTTGCGCAGCTTGCTGCATTTGATTCGGTCGCTATACTTCTACAACCCGCTACCAAAAGAAAAACATCGCTCAAGCAGGGACGGTGAAAGGCAAAGGTTGCTCAGCTGATGGCACCCTGTCCCTACAGTTTCCAAGGTCGCAACCCTTACACGCACATTTACGCAGTAGGAACAAGTGCATCGCTTCTAGTAACAAGTGCCTTACTACTAGTAACAAAAAGCTACTAGGGGCTCCTGGCATCGCTACTAGGAGCAAGGACTCTACTAGGTAATCGTTCAACCAAGTGTCGGCGCTAAGCGCGATGGCCTCCAACCTACTAGTGATGGTGCTACAATTGGCCTCCCCCTCGAAGCATACCCTGATTTCGTATCAAAGCCAGCAACCACAAAGATTTGGCCCGCCAACTGGTCCATCTCAAGCCCTTCCAAAAGGTTTCAGAATAAAGAAATACTAGTAGCTACTAGTAGCTTCTTGTTACTAGTAGCGATGCCCTTTGTTACTGGTAGCTATCAAAAGACAAAAATGTTTTGTTCAAAGGCTTTTGTAAAACCGCATCCGCAGCGTCCACAGTCGCGCCTTTTGTTTCCTCAGCCACGACGAGCTGGGCTCACCTGAAGGAATTGGCTACCCTTCGTTTGGCCAAACAGAATTTCTTTCTACAGAGTTGTTGTTCATTTGCTTTAATTATTGTGTCTTCCAATTGTTCCTTTTGTTCTCAATTGTTTGCTTTTGTACCTTTTCGACTTTTTCAATTAATGTGTGCTGTTTTCTTTGCCACGAGAGCGCGATACCTTTAGTGCTTTTTGGACAAATGGAGGAACCCCCTCCCATTAGCTAGTGGTTTTTGGTTCGTACAGGGCAAAGTGCCATAACAATTTCGGATAGAACGGGGTAGTCAAGACGCATCCTTGTGATTTGCTAGAGGTGACTCGTGCTTGTGGCCACCACGTTGACTATGATTGCAAGGAATTGACAAAGATATTGAAGGAGCGGTGAGATGCTGTCAGAACTCTGCTTTCTTGTTGCGCTTGATGCTTCCCTTGGAGGATGGGACTGTGAAAGGCCAGTGCTACGAGAAGGTTGAAAAGCCTTTAAGATGTGGCCGCTCGTTTGCAGAAACCGTGCTTCTTGCATCGCGTTTTGTCAGGACTGCGAAGAGGGAGCCAAACGGAACAAAGAAACTAGTGGCGTCCTTGCTAGGTTCGTAGCAATGCCCTTTGTTCCTAGTAGCGTTCTTGCTCCTGGCAGTAAGGCCAGGAGCCCCATTCGTAGCGTCCTTCTTGCTCTTAAGTTGTCGTATTTTGCAGGAAGGGAAGGAGACTCTTTGGACCTTGCCCAGTCTTCCGTGTACGCTGTGCAGGCCACATGGCAAAAGCCAAGTGTTACGAGCACCAGAAGTATCAAGATGGCAAAGACAACATCAAATGCACAGAAAAGGCCAAGCTTAGTGTGTCAGCATCAAGATTGATGTACATTGGTAGCAAAGGGCATCGCTACTAGGAGCAACGACGCTAGCTACTAGGGGCTCCTGGCATCGCTATTAGAAGTCTTCTTACTACTTTCTTATTTTCTGCAAGAACGCCTAGTAGCGTCCTTGCTCCTAGTAGCGATGCCAGGAGCCCCTAAAAGAAATACTTTGCAACATACCATTTGTGAGAAGTCCTGACCCGTCGCTCGAAGCAGGCGATCAGGCCATGCTGGAACTCGTCCACATGTGGGTCGAGCCGCTTGATGGTTCAATGCGCGTCGACTTCAAAGATTTGCTGCGGAACGGAATCAACATGGAGATGTCCAGCAGATCGTCACAGCTATCAGTTGAAACTATGTAAAGATGGGACCCCCAGCGCTTGCCCGGGCTGCCAACAAGACACCGCAAATGCACAGATCCAGGTTGGGCGAAGTGTAGGGCGATTGGGTTCTTACTCTTGGGTTGTGTTGCTTCTTGGAAATTCGGAGGAGAATGTTTATGTGCCAATTCGTTATTTCCGTGCTCTTAGCTCCCTTGGCAGGAGATCACAAGAGCTTTGCAAACTGATGTTCCTTTGGATTGTGAGCTAAACCCATGCTTTTTGGAGACCACCACCACCAAAGTGCCTTTCTTTAGCAAGTCGATGTGCTTCGCAGAGGACTGAAGAGAATGCGAAATCACTGCCGCTACCATACATGCCAGTTTCCACTAAAGAAAATGAGAGCCAAAGAAACCTTCCACGAGCCACAATGACATGCAGCAGAGCGAGCGAGAGAGAGAGAGGGACAGAGAGAAAGAAAGAAAGGAAGGAAGAAAGAAAGGCAGGAAAAAGAAAAGTCTAAAGGTTCAAAGAAGAAAAGTTACAAAGGAAACAGAGAAAGAGAGTGAGGCACGGAGCGAGACTGCCAGGAAGTTCACAACTTCGATCCGGCATCATTTTCCACAGAGTTTCGATCAGCGCAGCTAGAGCTTCTCCAAGCATTCCAAGAAAAGGAGGCCTGAATGGTGAAATGCGATGAAATGCGAGCGCAATCCTGCCTCCTAGAACACACTTCTCCTAGTAGCTTACCTCCTTAATTAAGTAGGAGCGGGCCCTAAACAAAAGGAAAAGGTTTAATATAGTTTGCTATTAGGTTGGAGCAGGCCATCGCTCTTAGGCTGGAGGCCATCGCTAGTAGGTTGGAGGCCTTCGATAGTAGGTCGCTATTGGGTTGCATTTTTCTACATGAAACTAGAATCACTTTCGGTTGCATATCATCACGTGAAACAAGATCACACGCCCTAGCTCATCCCCTCAACTGCAGGGGTGGGCGGGGTAGTGGCCCGCCTGTCCGCCAAGTGCTGCGCCTGGGGATTGAGCATGTGTCCTCCGCAAATGGTACTAGGGGCTCCGGGCCGTACTACTAGGAACAAGAACGCTACTAGAGACTTCCGCCCAGCGGCCCTGCTGAGATCTGCAGCTCGATGTTGCTCGATGTGAAAGCTTGTTGCAACCTACTAGCGATGGCCTCCACCTAATAGCGCCCTTGCTACATTCCTCTTGGTACTAGTAGCTTCAAAGGCCTACTAGCAGCTTTTTGTTCCTAGTTGCGATGGCCTCCAACCTTGTTGCAAGGATCAAAAGCTTTGGGATCGACAACTCTTCGAGCCCAAGTTGATCCCTGTCTTTTGCTGCTTGAAGAATCAGAAGCAGTCCATCCAAGGAGACGTCATAAGAGCTTTTCAGCCCAGGTTCCAAACAGAAGCTAGTAGCGTCCTTGTTCCTAGTAGTAAGGCCAGGAGCCCCTAGTCGCGTCCTTGTTCCTAGTAGCGATGCCATTTGTTCCTAGTAGCGTCCTTTGTCTTACAAATCTGCAACTGCGATGAGGATTCTCTTTGCGCAAACAAGTGAGGGCCGACACTTTGGATGGGATTCAGGCACTTTGTACGACAGCTTTGTCAGCCTTCAAATTCTGGACATGAAAATGTGTGTGAAAAGACGATGCATAATGACAGAAAGCTATTTGCTATGGTTCGCTTTGCAATCCTTGTTTGCATGCTTGATGCCGGCCCAGCCAGGTACACCGTTTGACACATGGAAATTTGAAGGCATTGGAGGATGCAGAGGAGACACAGTTGGTGGTCGGATATCTTTACACCCTCCGATGCTGTCATGAGTTCTGGCCGAATGAATCGAACCAAAAGAATCAAAAGAAAAAGAAGGCCGGGCCTGTTGGTCAGACACTATTGGAGTTGAAGCTACTAGGAGCAAAGAGCATCGCTACTAGGGGCTCCTGGTATGGCTACTAGGAGCAAATAGAATTGCAAAAAGGGTGCATTCTCTTAAAAGGTGTTCTTTGTCGGAAGATCGCGCCGAGCTGGGAGGCCCTGGTGCAAAGTTGGCGTCAGAGTTTTGATTGTTTCGAAGAAAAGGCCGCGAAAGCACCACGTCGCTTGGTCGTATGGCCACCGTTTGCCATTTACATGACGCATGGCCTGAAGCTCTCGAAAGCATCCCTGAGGAAGGCGGGGCCGTAAAGCATCGATGGTGACGCTCCGAAACACGTCGCGCCAAGAATGCTATTAGGAGCCCCTAGTAGCGTCCTTTCTACTAGTAGCGATGCCCTTTGTTACTAGTAGCATCCTTGCTCCTAGTAGTAAGGCCAGGAGCTACTAGTAGCTGCTTTCTTGCTCCTAATAGCGATGCCATTCATTGTTTTGCTCGGGCCTCTTGGACTGATTGGAAAAAGTCTTTTTGAGATGCCACAAGGCTTAAAGAAAGAAACAAGTAAGTTTCAATTTGCTTAGCTTCATGATCCCAAGATGACAAGCCGTTCGCGCAGGCCGCTTCCCTACTGGAGGGCCAGCGCGATGTTGACTTGGTGCCTCTGTCAGGGCCCTTTGAATCTTTTCGTCCATCGTTGAAGAGCGCGCTATAGCAATGTGATTTAAACAGATTGGATGCCGCAAGATTTTCATTTTTCGACCTCCATGAGAATTGTTCCTGTGTTGGATGTAGACTCTTACTGTGTTTCCTGAGTGTTTGTTTTTCAAGCCAGACACTCAGCACATGGGAGGAGGCCATCGCTACTAGGGTGGAGGCCATCGCTAGAAGGTTGGAGGCCATGACTACGATCGTAACAAAAAGCTACTAGTTACTAGTAGCTAAGGGCATACCGCCCTTCATTGGGATCCTCACTCTTGAGAAATGCCGCTACTAGGTAAGAGTTTCTGGCCAAGGCAGATCACTCTTGCAAAGCCACCATTTCCAGTGCAGCCAGCTTCAGCTCAGTTCTCAGATCAGTTCCGTGGGCATCATGAGCATGCGGCCATGCGATACGGCAACCGCTAACAAATTTCTGTGTGAAGAAATAGGCCACGCACGGAAGTTGTGGGACATGAGCTTTCTTATTCTTATCAAGAATATCGCCAGACATTCCAGACTCAAAGCTTTGTGTGAATTGTGGGCGACGTTTCAGAATAGACTCCTTTCTACAAAGGCGGCTCCTGAGCCAGCGTGGGAAGCAGATGACCGATATCTCCACCTTGAGGCGGCAATGATCATTTCGCCAGCATGGATGTTCTCAACATGATTTGCCCTTGAAGTTCTGGCAGGAGCTGCAAGACACGCCAGCAGCTGAGTTGGTCTTCCCAACCGAATGGAGTGGATCATTGATTTCAGGCAGGGTTCAGGATGGGATGCGAAAGACGCTACTAGGAGCGATCGGACGCTACTAGGGGCTCCTGGCATCGCTACTAGGAACAATGTTCGCTACTAGGAGCAAAGGGCATCGCTACTAGGAGCAAGAGGACGCTACTAGTACTACTAGGAAAGACATTCAAGTCAGTTGAGAACGCGCCCGCAAGGCGATCTCACAGAACGTCATGATTCGGAACTCAAACAGCCTCTTGAAGCTTTCGTGGGCGTCTGGCGCGTCCGATGGGAGCCCCTAGTAGGTTCTTGTTCCTTGTAGCTACTTGCTCCTATAGTAGTACGCCCAGAAGCCCCTAGTAGCATTCTTGCTCCTAGTAGCGATGCCAGGAGCCCCTGGTAGCTTCTTGTTCCTAGTGCGAGGAAGCTTTTTCAGGTTGCCAAAGACATGTGCAGACACTGGAGACTAGTCATGACCGTGGATTGTTCAAGGAAGCTTTCCTTCATCAACAAAGCCGCCACCCCCTTTGCTGGGAAGAACCTTTTGGATCAACTGGCGAAGTCGCTTGAAGTGTCTGGAAGCACAACATCATCAAAAGGAGCCCCTAGTAGCATCCTTGCTCCTAGTAGTAAGGCCAGGAGCCCCTAGTAGCATCCTTGCTCTTAGTAGTAAGGCCAGGAGCCCCTAGTAGCGTCCTTGCTCTTAGTAGTAAGGCCAGGAGCTCCTAGTAGCGTCCTTGCTACTAGTAGCGATGCCAGGAGCCACATCAAATCATCTGGATTTACTTTTTGCTTTGGAGCTCTACAACACCGACTCTGAGAGGTGAGCGTCAGAATTACCCGTTGATGGTCCAAACGTGCACTGTGAGGTTGAGGAGGTGTCAGGATGAATAATGGCAAGATGATTGCCATTGTGAAGTTTAACGCAAATTCTGCGGTGTTCCTTTGTGGCGCCTGAAGGTCCAAAGAGTACTTGGAGAAGTACTTGGCCTGTACCAAAGCCAGCGCGAGGTAGAAACCATGTGAACAGTTTTTCCCCCACCCGCTTCCGGCCTGCGAAGGCCAGAAGCTCATCCTTTGCTGCTCCTGGCAATGTACCGCAACACCAAGAGCCAAAACATGTTGGAAGCACTACAGCGCTACCCAGCCTTAGAGGCCTTACTGAACCATGAGGAAAAGGCAGGGGGACCCAGCGGAGGACCCAGGTCAATGGTGTCAAAGTGGGGTTGTCGAATCTCAAGAGCACGCATGTTACAAGTTCATGTGTTCGGCTTGTTACAAAGTTGAGTAATTTTTCTGAGCGGCTTTCATGTCATTCCTAGGCTCAAGTGGAGGGCGTCGCTGCCAGCGCATTGGAGCCGGCTGAGATGTGGGAAGAAATGAAAGAGACCAAAGGCCCAGAACTGAGAGATGCTACTAGGAAGGAGCAAGGGCATCGCTACTCGGGGCTCCTGGCCTTCTACTGCAACACTATTTAAATTTGCCTTAGAATTAAGATTAGTAGCAAAGAGACCAAAGGCGCAGGGGTTTTCTGCATAATCAGAGAGAAAACAGAAGAAACCACAGCCACTATGACCAAAAAATGCCCATGGTTGCAGGCTGCTGCTCAGAAGCCATGGACAAGCTGATGGCATTGACAGGAATCAAGAAAGTGAAGGCATGAAAGATACGCCTTGACTTTCACTAGCTCATTCGGTCAAGTCAACCTTCCTTGACGAAGACACAGCTGGTCACCAGTGACTAGCCGCGCTTGCTAAGTTAAGTAAGGGCGGGCTTTAAAGAAGAAGGAAATATACCAAAGCCACCTAGCTCTTACTGGACGCTACTAGGTGCAGGCCATTGCTATTACATTGGAGGACATCGCTAGTAGGGTGGAGGCCATCGCTACTAGTAACAAGAAGCTACTTTGTGTCTCGAGGCCACAGCTGTGGCGCTCTACAAGTCAGCTTTGCAGTTTAAGAAGATGAGCCCTGAAATGCAGAAGGCCCGGTGGATTCTAAAAACCATTATTGTTTCTAGAAGAAAGGTCAGACAAAAATGAACAAGGAAATGTCCAAATGTTAAGTGTCCCCTTTTACAAACTAGGAAACAAAGTGAATCCAGACTCAGGCTTCTTCAAGGAAGCTCTCCTTTGCCGCCATGAGGGCAGTGTGGGGGACTTTCTTGAAGAAGCCTGACTTCAGAGTGCGTCCAGGCGCCCATAAAGGGTACTTATAGTAGCTTACTTAGTAGTAAGCTCACTTTGCGGCCTAACCCCCCACCAAGAAATCATATGCTCCTACTTGAGACTACAGCGAACTTTGCCTCAAAAAGTAGTAAAATAGAATAAATAATGAAGCAGCTTTAACTTTAGGGGCAGGGACGCTACTAGGGGCTCCTGGCCTTCCTGGCCTTACTACTAGGAACAAGGACGCGACTTGGGGCTCCTGGCCTTACTACTAGGAGCAAGGACGCAACTAGGGGCTCCTGGCCTTACTACTAGGAACAAGGAC